ACATTTTTCCATATTATTGTAAATAAGTTCTCCCTCTAATTGGCGTACAACACACACAGAAACAAACTTTGTCATGTCATCTTGTGTTTGGAAACGTGATGTTTGCAATAAAATTCCTGGACATAATTAAACAAAATTTCATCAATGTGTTTGCATAATTAAATGATATTTGAGATGGTGTTTGATGAGATCGCTCTCCTACATAGTTATTCTAGTTATCCAAACCATCTTGTGTGGAAATCACATGACTTTTTTTGTGAATTATTGTAGAGATATTGCTTACCAGATGTATAAAAAGAAAATATGATCAAGAAAAGAAAAAATCGTGACACACTCACATCACTCTCAAGTGCATTAAAACATTACAAGCCTAAAAGCATGATCCAAGGCACTAAAGCTGCGTTTGCTAGGCTAATATATTGCTGTGATTAATGCTAAGTCATTTAAAATGAAGTCATATGGAGCACAATATCAAATAAACTTAATGAATAGGTTCTGCTGATGCCTGTTGCCAAGAGCCCAGCTTAACAATATGTTGTAGCTGACAGAGCACAGGTTAATAACTTTGTATGAATTTACAAAAAAAGTATGTGAAACCATTCAAGACAAGCACATATGGTATGATGAGGATCTCGAATTCAATGTGCCATATGTCTTCGGTAATAGCTAACACAGAGGGATGCAATCCCCTACCATCCCTTCTCTTTTTCACTCTCTCTCTCTCTCTCTCTCTCTCTGGGTCTACAAAGCTCAGCCCAGACAGAATTAATGTGCAAGTCATCATTCACAGAAAAAGCAGAGCCGTGTAATAAGAACACCCCCAATATTACCTCAGAGTTCACGGCAGCATCTTGTATAGACATGTCACACTCATTACTGCTTAGAAACAAGTGACTTATATACAATGCAGATGGAACTGTTTAAATCAGTGTGTTAATTATCACACTCCCTTTTTAAGCGATTGGTGAGGCCAGACAGAATCTGCAGACATTGTTTGCTATTTCTGCACAGATATTTGTAAAAAAAATCTGCGGATTTATGCAGAATGATTTTGGGAGTATCATAACTCTAAACGTAATATATGAAATAAAAATAATACCTTTTCAAAAAATGTTTAATGTTCACAATGCAAATCCAATTAGATCCACTTATTTGTTAATCAAAGCAAGTCTCTCATACAATATATCACCTAAAAGACAGAAATGATTACCTAACAAACTGTATAGTAAATAATTCATATGTAAATTGACATATTAGTAAATATTATTAATTTAAAAACTAGATAAATATAGTTTTACGCACATTTACACAAGTAAATAAATAGACTCAATCAAGGGCTAAAAATCAGCAGATTCCGTATGGGCCTAGCTGTTGGCTAATATGTACAAGAGATCGTTCTGGTACTAAAATCTGTCTAGCCATGCAGTTTTCTACCAGTATAAGCATAGGAACAACATTTGTTTTACAGCATTCCTCAGAGCGAATGTTCTGATAAAGGACTAATCTCACTACACTTTGACAATTAAAGCTTAAGTTTTTTAGCATGCTATTTTTTTTACTTCAAATATGCAGTTTACTAAGTTTAATAGGACAACGTCTGAGAACATCCTTATCTCGGACACTTATTTTGGAATCTACTGGTGACCTAAATGTATGTCTTTTTAGGGGTTGAACAAAAAATATAATTTTGGGTATATTTAACTGCAATATCTGGTCTCAGTAATCTATTACAAGCTTCTATCAATTAGATTTGAGTAACAGAGATATAACTGTATACATTTAATGCTATGTGGAATTGCGGCAATTGTTCTTTTGACTGATTTACTTAGCATCTTTTGTTGTTGATTATTATTCTAAATTATTTTGTTTAATAAATTATATTTATATAAGTGGTAGTCATATTAATAAATGAAGGATTGCAAAATGGTCTGTGTTAGTAGTTGTGATTGACAGTTCATTTTAAATTGTTCCACCATCAGATGGTTTACAAGTCATGCACAGTGGTCCCTCACTATAACGCGGTTCACCTTTTGCAGCCTCGCAGTTTCGCAGATATCTTTAGTGCAATTTACAATGCATTGTGTTCTGCACCCTGATTGACTCTAGACTATTGTCAGTCAATTTCCTCCTTGCCATGTCTCCTGTATAGTACAGAATTTGTTCAGCTTGCCAAGTTTGCTTATTCGTTAGCCGTGTGACTTAAGTGCTATACTGTATGTTTGCAAGTTTTCTACCCAACAAACCCCACAGTGTCGATGAAACGTTCTGCACAGTCATTTAAAAAGCAGAGACAGATGCTAACAATTGCACAAAAAGTTGGACTTCTGGACATGCCGTAGCACGCCATTTAATAATAGTTTATATTATTTAATATAAATAAATCTTCAGGAATAAATCTTTGCAGAATAAATAAATCTTCGGTTCGTTACATAAAGAAGGAGGGAAATAACATAATGAAGACCACAGCAATAAGTTTCAACAAAGATGCAAAAAGGGTTGTACCTCCGCAACAAAACCCTTCTTAAGATGGAGTCAGCTTTAGCTTAAAGATCAGTGACTACAGGAAATGTTAATGCCTGTCTGAGAAAAGTGTGCAGTGCTTCCCACAGGTTTGAATTATACGTGCGGTGGTAGCCGGATTGAAACACACTATTTACCCGCATCAATTAAATAGTTAACTATATGCGACAAACAAAACATAATTCAGTTTTTAATAATAATTGTATATTTTCAATGGGTTAAAGTAAAAAAGACTGTTAAAAAATCTGAAATAAAAAGAAATACTTTTATGCTATTCATGAGCCATGTGCACCTCCTGACAGGTAAAATCTGCTTCTCTCTTCTCTCTTTCAAGTTCAAAGAAAACTAGAATGCCAAAGCATTTTAGAAATGTATATAAAAAGCCTATGTAATTTATTAAAATCATCAAATTAATAGCAATTAGCAAATGAAAATTAAATGACAAAGTTAATAAACACAGACAACATCTTTAAAAAATTATCATAATTGCAAGATTAAAACAAGAAGGTTTTTTTTTTTTTTTAAAATAAGGCAAATGTGTTGATTAACCATTACTACTTGTGTACATATATTTTTCAGACAGTCTAGATGTAATTTCGTCCTTCCTAAGTATATAGTAAAGTTTTTCTGAGTTGTTTGATCAGTGTTTCTCAACCACATTCCTGGAGGACCACCAGCTCTGCACATTTTCCAGGTCTCCTTAACCAATCTGATTCAGGTCATCAGCTCATTAGCAGGGACAGAAAGACCTGTAATGGGTGTGACAGCTAAAAAAGACATCCAAAACATGTAGTGTTTGTGGGCCTCCAGGAACGTGGTTGAGAAATACTGTTTTAGATTAATGAATCTATTATTTACTTTTTTACTCACCGCTGTGTGTGCACTGTCAGCTGTGAAACCAGCCGGAAAGTACTCTTTAATAAAAGAGTAATGCAACAACGCATTTGAGCTGTAGAAAGCTAAAGCAAAAGTTGAATTTCGGACATTTTAGATTTAGAAACCTGGGCCGGACAAATTTTTTAAGTCCAAAAAATGTGCATCTCTGTGGGTCTGAAGAGCACGTGAAACTGTCTGCACGATTGTCGACAGGTCTCGCGGGTACAGAATAAAACTGGTAAAGGAGAGAAGATTTTCCACTACTTAATCTGTCACAGATGTTTGGCTATATTGAGCAGATACAAAAAGTGTAAAAGGATGTTAATCATAGTAAAAAAAAATTTTCATACTTGGGCAGCCATTAATATATCTTGGCGGCCCACCCAAGTAAAGTCGATGTGTGTGAAACATTGGTGTGTATTGAGGGGTTTTACAGCCTTAAAACGTCTATAATATTTGTAAAAATAAAACTGACTTCTTTGCAGATTTCGCCTAGTGCAGGTTCTTTTTAGAACGGAACTCCTGCGATTTACAGGTGACCACTGTACACAAAGTTGGCCACTGATAATTTATGAACAACAATAGAAATTATATTTTGCAGAACTAATATTTATAATGTTGTTTAAAGCACTTTATGCATAAATAATTTGTTTCATATACCTGCAACATTTCAGCTATTAATCAACTTAAAATCTTTGCTAGATGCCTGTCCAGCTATATTTGTTTATGCTTAAATATGATAAATTTAACAATGTGATTCGTGCTTCGTGCTTCAGATTTTCTGTTAAGGAAACATAGTGAGCATCTGTGCTCCCTAAATTTCATGGTGCAAATGCAACATTACACTCATATTTATGCAATATGGCTCTATATCAAAACTCTGATATACAGGCATATCACACTGCTACTCATTTGATATTGCTCACTTAAGAGACTTCAAAATGTGACGGTCTCTATATATCAGACAGATAAAGTGTTTTTGTTTCAGCAGGATGTTGAAATGAGTCACAGTGCATGAGATGAGAGCCAGTGGTCACAAACACACACACATGCTGGAAGAGTTGGCACCCTGCATTGCATGATGGGGCAGGCAGTTTGGGTGATGGCCATCCCTATCACTTCTGCTCCCCCTGTGCCCCTCAGGCGGCCCCTGCTGGGATTTGGGCCTTGGGCAGCGAACAGACTGCAACTTCAATCTGTTTAGTTGCGGAATTGAAACGTTGGAAAAATAACCTCGGCCAGAGCAAAGATATCAACAGCAGTGTGTGATACAGCATTAAAATACACAGGGAAACCTGGTTCAAAACAGATTGAGGCCATTTTGCCTCCAACCGGGAGAGGAAAAGATATTCAACGTTCAAGGCAGCAGAGATAAAAAAAAAAACTAAAAAAAAGCGTCCCGCTGGTTGGTAAATGTCAGCGAAAGCCTTTGTGTGCATTGATTATCTGCCCCTTCAAAAAATCCATCCGCACCATTTCCAGTCCACTGATGCATACAGAAATACTTACTAATTGCTTTTCGGAAATTATTAATAAAGCCAGCTAGATGCTAACAATGCGACATGGGTGATGTCTGTGTTGTAAATGTTTTTTTTTGTCTTCAGTTTGTTCGCAGTTCTCCAAAGGAGTGTACGCAATCATTGGCGTCTACGACAGGAAGACCGTCAACATGTTGATGTCGTTCTGCGGTGCGCTACACGTCTGCTTCGTGACGCCCAGCTTCCCTATGGAAAACTCCAACCAGTTTGTCATCCAGCTGAGGCCTGAACTGCAGGACGCCCTGGTTGGTGTAATCGAGCACTACAGGTGGTCTAAGTTTGTCTACATGTACAGCTCGGACTCTGGTGAGGCCTGCTTTTTATCATTGAAATCTTTGTGTTTGTGGGGGAAATTACACTGAGATTGGATTGCATTTGATTATAAAGAGGTGCATGTCAGTTTTCCTGTTCTAAGTTCTTCAACACTTTGAAAGGAATAGGGTATAGGGGAGACAACTGGGAATAGAACATAGTTCCTTCTACCTTTTACCTGTAACTACAGATCTAGAGAAGGGGTTGCAAACGTACAGTGCAAGTTTGCGACGCAGTTTGCGAATGGTTGTTTGAACAATGGACTTTGGGAAAAACCAAATTCACAAACTGTGTATAACGATGGAACTTACAACCTTAGTTGGCTAACGCATCCCCGGACAGGCTGTTTGATTTGGGGGCGTTTACTCGCGCTGGCCCGAAAATAGAAAAGCGGGTGTTTCTTATGCACCTGGTGGATATTGCGTAAAGCACAAAAGTATTATTTTAATTTTTATTTTAAGTAGTTTATTTATTTATTTTTTTATGAAAAAGCAGTCTTTGCTTCTGCAGCACAACGTGTGACTGCGCTTGACAAATTGCAGTATGTATGGAAAGCATTATCAGTGCACCGTGTATGTGATAAAAATGAATGTTATAAATGTAACACAAATCTAAGTGTAAAGGTTTTATAGGTTTTATACATGGTATATACTGTAGAATTAATTTAACTGAATTTATAATACTGTAGTTATTTTATCAATTTGTCTTGAAAACTGACAACTTTATTGGAAAAAAATGGGTTTAAATGAACAGTAGCATAGTGTAGCATACTTTGTGATTATGCTTAGTCTTTCTTTGGTACTATTAAAACTACCAACCTGCAACTTTTTTCTGAAATTATAGTAAATCACATTTTAAATCGCAATTTTGATCAAACAAATTGCAATTAGATTTTTCTCCAAATCATGCAACCCTATAATATGGAAATAAAGATATGCTTGAATAAATGAATTAATACATAAAAAAATAAAGATTTAAAAAGTGCATAAAATGTAATCAAGAAAAAAACAATGCTTCACTCACTCATTTACTCATTCATTATCCATCAGCTTAGTCCATGATTTATCAGCAGTCACCACAGTGGAATGAACCACCAATAACAATGTTTAACATTCAGGTTTAAGTTTAAACAAATAAATAGTCAAGCCCAAAGTTATTTATACCCCATGTATGTTTGTGTGTGAGCATGTGTGTATTTGTACCTTCTTAGTGTCAAACCAAAGGTTCTTTTGACAACATCAAAAGTAATATTTTTGAAATAATAATGTTCAAATATGACTGTTTTTTTATTACACTTTATAAGGCATATTCATATATTGCCATTCTTGGTATCAGAAAGTTTGAAATGATCAATAAAAAGTTTCTCTCTAAAACACTTTTTAAAAGACACAATGTATTATAAGCTTAATTTGCATATAACTGAGGCGTATTTGCAGCGCATGGGAATTCAAATGTGCGGCATGAGAATTTTAATACTCATGCTATAGTAAAGCTTTTAGTGCTTGGTTAAACTGGTTATTGTGGGCTTAGTGAAGAGGATGCAGGTTTTTGTGCTGAAATATCATGTCTGTTCAGTGATTTTTACCTTTTTGAATTCTCTTTTGAATACGGCTGGTTGGTTTTCTGAAACTGAAATTTTTACCACCACATTTGCCAGTGTGCACATTGAGTCAGCTTTTGTTCCCGGTTTGTTTGTGAACATTTTGGTGTGTAATGACAGATATTGATGTGACTCATGAGAGTTGCCTGCTTGTGTGTTGCTGCGATGAACAATAGTGTTCTGATCTGAGTGAATGCATCTCTCCCTGCACTTGGAGCTCATTTGTGCTTCTTTCTCTGTGGAGATCTGCCAGAATAAAATCATTGTGCCAGCGTAAAATGTATCCAGCTGAAGGCTGGGGAAAGAAAATCCCAATACCAAAGCACCCCCACGCATGGTTTCATTGTCATTCCAAGAAGGGTCCAGAACTAACTTTTCTGCCACACATGCCAGTGGCGATGAATAGAGAAAGTTTGCCAACCAATAAATATTTATTTCAAGCCTTACAATTGTATTTATTTTTATTCTTAATAAATAATATATATTCAGTGAGTTTTTCTTAAAGCAATAGTTTATCTAACAATGTAGAAAAATCACATTTTATCCCCAAAATTCCTCCTCCAAAAAAGTATCTCATGTTCCAATGGTAGAAGAATAGCTTCTTTTGTATTAGAAGAAGGTTTAATGCTTTTTTTATGACATGAGTAAAAAAGGACAGAATAAATATTTTGTTTTGCCAAATATTCTATAAATTTGGTTTTGAAGAAATACAAAATCTTTTGGAGTTAGTGTTGCCTTGATACTAAAATTTCAACACAATACCTTAAACAAATATAATCATTTAAAGCTATTTGCAATTCCATGTACATTGGCAATTTTAGAAAACCAAACATTGAGTGAACAGTCAATAATAAAAAATAAAATGAGCAAATTATATGCAATAGGCCAAATATACAGTGGCTAAGAGAGCTTAACATGCTGCACTTTAAAAAAAGATCCAATTATAAAAAACGCCAGCGAATTAAGAAAAGATCTTCATTGGTTTGATAGCACACGTGCTACAAATCCTTACATCGCATACACATAAAAAAAACATGCTGCATTTTCTCACAACACTTGGAAAAACAACGGAACGCAATGGAAATGTTTCAAGAGGACCCAAAACCGTGACGGATGGATGAATAAATTAATATTGATTCCTCTGTTAAATCTAACAATATTCATACAAGTTCAGTAAATGATAGTAGTTATTATGATGCGGCACCTGTCAAAAAGTTTGATGGATTGTAGCCCCGCCCCTAAGGCGGGACTTCCGGTCTAAGCCCCGCCCCTTTTATATAAACTTTATAGTTCCGGTAATTAGATTCTTATCGGTTTTATATAAAATAATAATTCCGGTAATTAGATTCTTATCGGTTTAATATAAATTATATTTCCGGTAATTTGATTTTTTATCAGACTAATTAAATTATTGATTCCGGTAATTAGATTTTTATCAGACTGAAATAAAATTATTATTATAATAATAAGGGTAATTAAATTACTGTTATTAGAATCATTATTTAATATTTTTAATTATTGGAGTAAATTATGTTATATTACATGAAATTATATTATACTAAATTAAGATGTATAAAACTAATATTTTATTAAATAATATTATGTATTGTATTATATTCTATCATATCATTATATCATATTAAGTTATATTAAATCATTATTTTATTAACTTATATTATAATTATATCATATTATATTAGATTATTATATTATATTATTATAATATTTATATTATATTATATTATATTATATTATATTATATTATATTATATTATATTATATTATATTATATTATATTATGATTATCATAAATATTATATTATATTATATCATTACATTATTATATTATATTATATTATATTATATTATATTATATTATATTATATTATATTATATTATATTATATTATATTATATTATATTATAATTAATAAACTATTAACATAAAAATTTCTTTATGTTCATACCGTTGTTTCCTCTGTGTGTCAGTCTGGGCCTGAGCGTGTGAGTGATGATAAGGAAAACTTTGGATAACATCCCGTCAACTGCTTGTGAAAGATAGATTTATATCAGATGTAGAATATGGATATCTGATTGTATGTGATGGGTGTCTCCCACTAAATACTATATGTTGTTAGGTGATTAGAAAGTGTGCTGATATCTATATATCCACATGCAGTCAACTATATGCATATGTATGTGTGTGTGTGTGTGTGTGTATGTGTGTGTGTGTGTATGTGTGTATGTGTGTGTGTGTGTGTGTGTGTGTGTGTGTGTGTGTGTGTGTGTGTGTACTTGTGCGCGCGCTCGAGCGAACTTGGGTCTGGCTTTGTATGTTTGAATACATGACACAGTATTTACTAAATATGTTCATTAATAGGTTATGTTGTTTTTTACATTATTACTACATTAATACATATTTAAAGACACACAAACATTTTGATGTATCTTTGTTGGACTATTAAATTTAAATTTGTTTACAATATTAATCCAGTAAATAACAAATCTTAATCTGTATTAACAATAAATTGTCACACCTTTTAAAACAACGTTATCTAAAATGTAATGATCTAAACTGTTGGTTGAAAAACACAGATGTAAATTCAAGTTGTCTTTATAATTAATGAAAACTTTTATTATGAAAAACAATTTGAAATGAAAGTTTTTCCTTTGACTAACATGTTTTCAATTTATTTACATGCATGACCTGTAATTTATGGCACACATTGTAATACAGTTAATCCAAAGCCTAATGTTTTGAGCAATGGTCATCACTGGTGTTGGTTTAAAAAATCAACATAAAATATTTACTAAAAAGGACTTATCACTCTTTAGACATTATTGTTATTTCTGTTTCAAAAAATAAATAAATTGTATAAATTGTAGTAATTGTATCACTCACAATTGAAGCCAGGCAACTTAGTTACTGAATTTTAAATTCAAACTGTTTTTAATTCATTGCAAATACTTGATCATATAAAGAGAAATATGTTAATTATACTGAATAATGGGAAAACGCTGATAATTATTTTATGAAGAAAAATTGGCTCTCAGTTTATCTAAAAACAGTACAGCTCCAGTCCTTAGTTAAATCTACTTAAAGTTTTATAGTAAAATTTTCTAGTTTAACTACTGAATCCACCATTTATATGTTCATACAATAGTGTCAAATCTAGTAAGTCTACAAATTTGTCAAAATTAGTCATGTTTACAAGTAGTTCTTGAAAGTAGACTGATTACTTTTTTACAGGGTAAATGATGCTTTTCTTATACCAATAGACTTAATCAAGATTATTGTCACTACACACAATTTGTTGGGAGTGTATATGTTTCTTTAAACAATGTTTTTATTGGCAAACACATTTTTAAATTATCAATCTAAAATCTACCTGAAT